GAGGATGCTCATGGAACGTGAAATAAACTTGAAAGGAACTGTTTAAATTACTAAAGTACTTCGAATAAATATTATATAGAACCTATGAAAGCAGAGCATGTATTAAATTTATAATAACACAATGCAACGAATGTAGTGCAAAGCATGAATTTCTTTCACATACTCAGCGCATGTCTAAAAATACGTATAGAAACACTTTTATGGTCTATATCGTTTTTCATATAGTACTTCACCACTCACATGTGCCATAAAAGCAATAATTCTCCAGTTAGTGACTCACTATACTGTCGATTTTATGCACTTGTAACAAATGTGTAGAACCGAATGAAATAAAAAACTACGCGTTATAGTGTCACCTTTTAGAATATGTACAGGGCGAGTCACCTAACGTTTGCACTTCAAATATCTTTGTTGTTTTTAGAGATACGTCAAATGTCCTAAGGACAAAGTTGAATGTTTCAATGAAGCTCACACAATGCCAAACAAATTTTTGTTTTTATGTCATTTTATAGAGATATCAAGGTCACCTTCATTTTTTAAAATGGAACCACCCTTTTTTCCGTGATCTTGAATGACCTTGAGTAATTACTGTTACTGAATTCCTAATGAAAGGGACTATCATTGTAGGTGTTTAAAAGAGGGTGATTCCAATTTAAAAAATGAAGGTGACCTTGACATTTCTAAAAGAAATGACATAAAAACAAAAATTTGTTTGTCATCGCGTGATCCCCATTGAACCATTCAACTTTGTCCTTAAGATATTTGACGTATCTTTAAAAACAATAAAGATATTTGAGGTGCAAACGTTAGCTGACGTTGCACCCCTGTATATATTTTCTTAGTCAGGAGCAGTGTTTTACAGAAAAAAAAACAAAGGAAAGCATTATTTACTGCAGAAATACGACATTCCTTATTGACCAACCTAATGTATCAAACAGTTCAATTCAGTATATGTATGTACATTCAGTGTTGGTAGTTCTAGCGTTAATCACTAAAGCAGTCAAGATGACTGGTCAGTGATTCATCTAACGACAATTAAAATGTTACAACAACGGATTTTCTCAGATCGTTTCACAACTTTTATTGCAATATGAAACCGAAGAAATCAGTTCATTCCCAATCAGCCAAACCTGCATAGCCAGATTTTGTCCAACGCCTGTTATGAGCTTTTATAACCAAAATGGCTACAGATTTGATGCAGGATCTGCAATAAACAATCTGCTTTACGATTCCGCCAAGCAGTCTCCGCCTGCAAAACTCAAGCCAAATGCAGAAACAGATGGATATGGATTTGTGAGCAGATTTTGTCACTATCTGCTGCCAGTCTGCTGACAATCTGCACGCAAATGGTTATTTGGGTTTATAAATTTGAATAATTGTTTCCTATGCATTTCTAGTGTCAAATCACTGTACAGTGCCTAGCGTTGAAGCTCCTCTGACCACGAATGATGCACATAATTCGGAACAAAGAAGAAACGTGTTAGTCACAGCTATGAATATTCCAGGCACTTAAAAATTCCAGGTCATAGGATAATAAATCGACTCCAGCGCGGTTGATTCATGTGCAAACGAGTTCTATATGCAAGGAGCAGTGCGCAAGGGTGTCGAGACTATGCCGATACTGTCGACAGAGTTCACTTCCTAGTACATTCTCCAACGGAACGTCAAAATGAAACCTGATTGTGGAGTACGTTTAACATTCATGCAGATTAAACGCAATCTATGACCTACTTTCATTAACCCTTCGAGCACCCACGAACGCAGTTATGCGCGTTGAATCGTCTAACGAATGGCATTGCATATGTTACACTGTTCAATAAATTAACTACTTCGAGTGCACATATCATAGAAGTTCTTTGAAGTGCATAATGGGGGACAAGTAACCCTCAGTGATGTAAAACTCGAACTATCTCCTAAACTATGGATTATTGGAAAAAAGCTGTAAAAGTATTTTTTTAAGTTTAATGTTTGTACTTTCAGGTAGAAGTGAGTGAACGAATTGAGATTGAAGGAAAAATAAAATAAAGTAATAGAGAAGAGATTTAAAGTGAGGATGTGTTTTCAAAAATGGAGGTTCAGGTCGAACTTGGAACTGAGGTCTTTTATCCCACTGATGCACTTGAAGTGTTAACCTAATATTATAATATAAATACTATTGTCCATTCGTTTGGAGTCTGTAAAATACAATAAACAACAAAACTTTCATTAGATCCAATGAGTTCTCTAATTTATTCTGAACCCAATACGATACTTAGAGAGAGAAAGCAATTTCTACATTTGTTCTCGTCTTTATGCATTATTGTTTTCTTCGACTGTGTCATTATTATAGTTCTTAAAAAAAAATGTACGCAAATTCTGATTATCATTGAAACAATAGTGAGGCGATTTTTAATGTTCGCGTTAATGTATGAATTAACAATTATAATTTATATTAATATAAACTATGTTTTATACTGGGTGGTGCATCTAACTTTATCACCGGGAATGTTTCGTTTGTTTTTGATAATATTAAAAAATGTTTCAGATACAAGTTGAATGGTTTCGAGGGGAGTATAATTTGACATGATTGCGTAGAGAACATACGAAGGACACCGATGTTATTGTAAATGGAATTATATATTTTTTAATACATCAGTCGATCCAGATGGACATTCTCTACAAAAAGGTATTAACCTATCTATACCGAGAATCCATTAAGTTAAGAGATATTTTGATTTCAAAATTACACGTGACGTCTATGGACGTACTTGTTAACATCAACTTTAAGGATGTAAATATCGTATTACTAGTACCACTTTGTCATATTTAAATTAAAATATCTCCTAAACTAATGCGTTTTAGGCATAAACAGTTTAATACCTTTTTATAGAGAATGACGAGCATAATTATGTTAAATTGTACTCCCCTCGAAACTATTCAATTTGTATCTGAAGCATTTTTTAATATCATCAAAAGCAAAGGAGATATTCACAGTTTATTGAAAACAAGTAATACAGTAAATTCTGCATGAGTGTTCGAAGGCTCCTTGGGACTAAACATTAAATATTTCATAAACTAATGGACCTATGCGGCTGAAACAAATATACTTGGCTTTGAAATTCTAAGCTCTATCATTGTGCTAAACCTCGTTAAAAAGCCACCATTACGTCTGAAGACCTGTCCTTGTCAGTGCCGAGGAGGCTTCGAGCACTCATCGAGGATTTACTGTATTCTGTTTTAAAGCGATTGAGCAATAAAAATAAAAATTTACAGTAAGTTCCTTGAGACATTCGACAGAGTTTTATTGTTAACGAGTTTGTTTAAAATAAATACTAGCTACAGACTTTTATATTTCTGTGTAAATTTTTCTGCTGACTTCTGCTAACAACACTATGTTTTTTTCATGTAAACTATATATAATTCATCAAGTGCATGTATTCTGATCAAAATTATATTAATCAACGTTTATGCAAATATCAATTATGATTCGTTACTTCTGACTTTGACATTAATTAAATACGTGAAATATGCGCCCTTGCGTATGTAGCGAACAAATGGTCACGTAACTTTTAATCCTTTAACCCTGGAGAATCCCTCTATAAACGTCCGGCGATCTTTGTTCGATGATATGGTTGACCAACTGTGAAAATGATATAAAGCGATTCTCTCGTTCACTCGTCGAGGCGACACAGCGATCGGAAATCGGATAACAATAGGTAAATGCACAGAGAATGTGACACGCTAATAAAAATGTAAGCTTTCACATTTTTCACTGTACTTCATCGTGACAGCATCCACATGTTTCAAATTATTTACAATAATTTCAAGTGATATATTGATTAAATCTAACCTTACCCGGCCATAAATTACAATAATAATGAATTAACAACACTAAAATCGCAAAATTAACATTTTTAAAAAAAGTTGTCATTGAAAAATGAAGGAGACCTTATCAGTTGATATATAAATTATAATGATTTATAACTAGTTGAAGTGTATTAATTTTCACGAAGCTTCAAACACAATTTCGTCATTCTTGATTTTCGTTTTACAGGGACATCACTCAAGTGTAATATGTCAATTTTTATGTTGCTTGATACAGAGATAGTATTTTAGAAAATATTTGACACGTCATTTTTTTGTAGTAGCTGAGATTCACATCTAGGGGGTGAAAACAACCCTCAAAGTCGCGGGTGAAAAATACATGTTTCTTAATATCTCGCAAACTAATCGACCTAAGAAAGATATTTGTTAACAAAAATGGTGTGTTGTTTTATAATAAAAATAACTGCTCAAGTAGTTTTTCGAAATACTAAAAAATAAAAAATAATTGTTTAAACAAGGTTATAAACACGTGTTCTAAAACCTCGCTTTGGTAATTGATAAGATTCTTTGTAACGATTATCAACTCTAGCTTGAGATATCGGAGTAATAATAAAATCTTTTTTAATTTCTATTTACTGGATAATATTTGTTCGTTTCATGTTACATAAATTCTTTTATAGTCACGAAAAAAATTCGAGCTATAGCCCAGATAACCATTTGCGTGCAAATTGGCAGCAGATTGGCAGCAGATAGTGACCGAAATCTGTCTACAAAACCATAACCATGTTTCCGCATTTGACTTAGATTTTGCAGGCTGAGCCTGCCTAACAGAATCGTGAAATATATTATTTATAGCAGATCCTGCATCAAATCTGTAGGCATTCTGGTTACAAAAGCTTATAACAGGCATCCAGATAACACATAAGGCCTTAAAGACGCCCATTTTAGTAGGTTTGGTTGACTGGGTTGACAGTTAATAAAGGAAATGGCAATTTATTCTGTTTTTTGTTAGATCTGATAGGTAGAAATGTTTCAGAGTTTCCACGACAAAAACTGTAGGAACCCAGACAGCACATGACACCTTAAAGACGCCCATTTTACGACTATTTTAGGCCGTCTTTAAGTCGTCATTGGGCGTCATGTGCTATCTGGGAAATAAATAAATCAAATAAATCATATGATTCTGGTGGAATTACCTTGAACACTGTTGCTGATGACCCTCCTTCGGACTACCTTTGAACGTAGCCTGCCTATTCAGCTTGGAATCATCGCATTTCTCTTCCGGAGTCGGTTTCAGGAATGACTCTTTGTCACCGTCGATGCTCTCCTTCTTCGAGTTACGCTGATCCGGTGGTCGATTCACCGATTCGAGCGGCAAATTGTCCGCGCTGCGAACCTTTCGGCACAGTTTCGACGTTGAACCGTACCTTCGTAAAAAGTCCTGAAAAATAGAACGATACTGCGTTGAAAAAAAGGCTGTGAAACACAAACTCTCGTGTTTTTTTCACCGGGAACGGTTTAGCTCTCTTCGCGAAAACTTCCATCTATCTTTCGTCGCGTATTTGCATACTGTTACAACCATAAAAGGAGTTTTTAACGGATACAAAGGAATTATTAAAACTAGAACAACAGAGTAGAAATTTAAAAAAAAAAGAAAATGGTGTACGTATACTGTCATGAGGGCGATTCATGAATTTGATGTTTAAAAGAATTTTAACTAAACTTGCAGTTTCAAGGGACGTTTGGCAAATTGAAAATTCAAACATATTTGAAAGTTTGCAAAAATAAAGTATTTAAAAAAGAGAAAGGAATTCTTTACAACCATGTACATGAATTGGATCAGAGAATTTTCTGAACGGACTAATTCGGCCCTACGTGCCAAATTACTATAAAAAAAATTTAGGGTGGTAGGGGTAACTTTGAAAAAAATAACATTTCTGGAACATTCTTTACCACCAATCTGTAGGACATTAAAAACCATAGAACTTTAAATTTAACTTTTTTTCCAAATTTGGTACGGTTTCGAAAATATTCACGATAATACGAAAACTCAGAATTTTGTTTGAGGGAGTATTGTTACCCCTAGGATCGTTTCATGGTCAAAACAAAAAATGGTTTTGTTATTAGCGTCACTTGAACTATACTTCTGCAAACTTTCAAATATGTTTGAATTTCTTAGTTGACGATCGTTCCTTGTTAGTACTATTATATTTTATCTAATAAGTACACTGTTCAACATGAATTTTGATCTGTAATATCCACTGGGCGAACCATATAGTTTTTCGTCCCAAACACGAATCCGGAAGCAGAATTTTTTTATCACCTTCAATTTTTCAAAAACATGAGTTTCTATGAAAACGCATGATTTTGGGCAAATTTATGTATTACGTGAAAACTAAAAACGTTAGAAGGTTCAACTGAGTTTTAAGAGATAGAGGAGAGTCTTCTGAATATATTACAATGTACACTTTGTTTTTTTCTCCAAAAACTCATGTTTCTCAAGATTCGTGTTTGGGACGAAAAACTACAGGAGTCACCCAGTGGATAATGCCGATCAGAATGAAAGTTTTAATTTGTTTTAGCACGATGACCGTGTATCTTTAGAAACTTTACGGTTAAAAAGTAAAATCAATCGTGATTAGTGAGGGCGGTCCATGCAGCCTTCGATGAACTTAATGACTTCTTTAGTGATAGATTACCAAGTTATTGATCAGCCTGAAAACTTTACTTCGCTTCTGTCTTGAACTTTAACGTTTGATGTATCTATTTTGCTCGATACTTTCGCGTACTTTACATAGTTAAATGTCCATCCATCGTGCAAAATTTTTTGTTTACATAAGTGACTGTGTTCTGGTTGCATATAATTAATAAGAAATGTCGTTATCGCAATATTGACCACAAATTTGACGAAGAAAAATTCCATTTAGACAGTTTAACAACTGATAATTTTAAAACGTGAGAAAATTTGTTGTTTTTATTATCTTGAATTTAGAAGCTGAATATGATTGAAAGGTGAAATACTTAAAATGTTATGTTACGTAATGGATATAGAAGTAGGAAGCTGGAGAAGAATATATTTTTCATTTTAAATACTAATTTCATCTAGGCAGGCAATTTAATTGTTCTAAGTATGTAAAGTAAGAGCAATTTAAAGTTACAGAAATGTCTTGGAAGAAATATACTTTTATTCCTCTTAAAACAAATAATCATAATAACAATATTGTAACCCTAAAAAATCAAAGATATAAATTTGAAAATTATGTTTATGTACTGTCTGAAATATGGTCTTTTAACTAAAGCCTGATTTTCTTATACTCAAATGACTTTTGAATATAAATTACAAAGTTGATCGATTTTTTTAATCAACAGTAGAACTGCATTATACTTTTATATTACAAATTTAAAAATTACAAAATCACAATTTAATAAAAGTTTAAACATTTTATGATATTATTTAGTACTAAAACCATTCATACTTTTATCTTAAAAAGCATTGGTAATTAAAAACACAAGAAAACAAAAAGCACTTATTTTTAGTGAATGCACTAGTCAAGTTTAGTTAAGTATATAACTAATATAAATCTTCGATATGTATTTATTATATTTTCATTATAGCCTCAGATTAAAAAGTTGTAAAAATCGACCTTTACTATTTTCTTAGCGATTCCGACCAATTGCAACTTTTTCATTTTGTTTTACACATCATTTAGTAAACTAATGTCTTGAACTTTACAAAAGAACTCAAGTCATTTGAAACAATGTTAAAAAAGTGGTTCCGTTATAAAGGGTGTACAAATACTTTTGTCCGGTACTGTATATGTATAGTGTCTCACGAACTCTGTCCACTTAAATATCTTGGTTATTTCAAACAGTACGAGAAAATGTTACTTACAGAAGTTTTAGGGTTTAAGAAACTACATAATATGGTATAAATGGTATTCTTGCAATTGGAGGCGTAGAGAAGATCTAGAGGTCACCTTTGTTTTTTTAAACGGAATGTCCGATTTTTTATGCTCGATTTCGATAGATCGGCGTATTCTGAGTATAAAAGTACTAAGGTGCATTTGTTCTAAAACTTACCCTTGCTGAGATATTTGACTCTTTTCAATTCGCTGTTTGTTTACATTTGACTTCATGAGCATATCCGCGAATACGTTCTATAATGAAAGTAATAGAATGAAAGCAGTCAAATATCTCAGCAAGGGTAAGTTTTAGGACAAATGCACCTTAATACTTTTATACTCAGAATACGTCAATCTATCGAAATCGAGCATAAAAAATTAGACATTCCGTTTAAAAAAACAAAGGTGACCTCTAGATCTTCTCTACGCCTCCACTTGCAAGAATACCATTTATAACATATTATGTAGTTTCTTAAACCCTAAAACTTCTGTAAATAACATTTTCTCGTACTGTTTGAAATAACCAAGATATTTAAGTGGACAGAGTTCGTGAAACAGACTGTATGTTCGATGCTAGGTAGGACACCCTGTATATGTTCACCCAGTCCTGATATCCGAGGTACACGTCTGTTTCGCATCCCCTAGATATTCGAGCAACAATCGGCCGGTGGTTTTCCCGGTGTCGTGACTGCGAATTGACGCGAAGTCTGATACAGGCAACGGTCGATCGAAAGTTTCATGGTCGCGAATCACCGGGAACGGTTGCTAATTCGCCTCTGTTTTCCAGTCCAGGGACTTAACCCTTAACTGCTGCTATCCGCTCAATTTAACCATAGCGCTATTTAAAACTTAAAAAATGCGGTTAATTTTATAGTTGTGAATTCATGCGCCAGTATATTTTCTCATATTCTGAATGTCAGTCGACTGGTAGACGTACTGTTGTGTAGTCGTGTTACTTATCAAGACATCTAATTGCCGAAACGTAAGACTTGTTACTTGTGTCCTGCAAAAAAAGAAAAAAAAAAGCATCGCTTGTTTGCATAACATGCCATAAAGCTGTGTGCTCACAATGCTGGAGACATATTTGCAAGGAATGCATATGAAATTTTCAGCTTTACCATTTTTGTATCTAATATGATTATGTTTACTTCAATAAATCCTATAATTTTGACGATTTGTTCTATTTATTTATTTATTTCATTTTAGGAATGAAAGGGAGGTGTGTGGCGAAACAAATACATATTATAAGGGAAAATTTAAGGATGTAATTAATGGTAACTAGTAACCTTTAATGTAATGAAAATATATATAGAAAAAATATGATTTAAGCGTGCCGGTCAATTCGACCGGCTAGCAGTGTGAGCGTACCTATAATAGCTTAGCAGCAGTTATGGGTTAAACCGGTATGATTTTAATACCGAGATTACGCTATCAAAGCTATACCGATACCGATATATTACCGAAAACCGAAATAAATACCGGTACTTTTTCGGTTTCTATAAAGGTAGGAATTATACATACATATACATACAGGGTGTTCGCGATAAATTGTACCATCGTTGTTTTCGTAAACAGTAAATAGTAGACAAAAACCGAGGAGGAGGAAGTTGTAGTATCTTTTACTAGTAATATAATAGCGTATCTAAAGTTTTTGTATTTTTAATATTTTTCTAGAAACAAAGGTGACCTTAATTTTTTTTAATGGAATGCTACATATTTTTTCACATCATATGAAAGCGGGCATTAAGACGAGTTCAACCATGAAGTATACTATGGTCTTCAGGGTCATAGAAGGGCAGGAATAAAAGAAAAAAATTTAATATTTCGTAATATTGTATTTACTAGTATGTTCTAGTAATAAGACTACATCTCGTGTTCAATGTAACTTCCATTAGCAAGAATGCATTTCTGAGAATTTATTTCTGCCCTTGTATGACCCTGAAGACCATTGCTTCCATATGATGTAAAAAAATATGGAGCGTTCCATTTAAAAAAATGAAGGTCACCATTGTTTCTCGAAAAATATTAAAAATACAAAAACTTTAGACACGCTATCATATTACTAGTAGAAGATACTACAACTTCCTCCTCTTCGGTTTTTTTCTAACGTTTACCGTTTACGAAAAAAACGATGGTACAAATTATCGCGAACACCCTGTATACATATGTACAGGGTTATACATATAAGACGAAAGTACAACCGAAAATACCGGTATAATACCGGTTTTTTTTGTAAAATCGGTAGATAGTATTATATAAAGCCGGTAGATGTCCCTGTTTTTCACGACGAAATCGGTCGCGAGGAGAGAGCTTTGTTGGCTTTACCGTTCTTTCATAGACGATTCACGTGCATACGTACGTACCTGGGGTTGGAAGCCGGCCAGATCGTTCGCGCTGTTCCCCCGCGGCCTGAACGTTCTCGTCGGCCCAGGCTGAAAATTGCAACGACGACGATTAGATTCGACTTAACCGATGAAAATCGCATTCGAATGCAATCACTCCTCAAGCGTGATCACTAACAAAATGCAGACAAGGACAAAGGCACGTCTGTTATCCACCAAAAATAGGTTTAGCTTCTACGAAATGCTTTCTTGGAGACGGGTGCGACGGTACTTTGAGAAAAATAGGGATTCCTTGACCTTACAGAGCACACGTTGGGTATGAGAAGCATGTGGTATTATGTTTTATGTTATATAACATGTACATTTTTTTAACTGGACTTAGTGATGGGTTCTGAAGCACTTCGAATCGCTTCGAGTATGTAGACGAGATGAAAAATTCGTATCACTTTGGTTATGACTCGATACTTAAAACTCTTGAAAGTCTTGAATCTTGAGTCTTTAACTTTCAGACTGCCGGAATTTTTTCATAAAAATGTGATCACTTTTGGCTAAAAATTTATAGTATAGGCACTGCGCTGAATTTCCAGTTTTGTTAATGTCACAAAAGGGATAAACCTGATAGCTGAAAGGTTGAAGATTCAATAGGTCTTGAATCTTGAGTCTTTAACCTTTAGACTGTCGGTATTTTTTCATAAAAAAGTGATCATTTTTGGCTAAAAGTTTATATATATATATATATATAACATATGCATTGCGCTGAATTTCGAGTTTTGTTAATGTCTCAAAACGGGCACCCGTAGTAGCCTAAATGTTAAAGATTCAATAGGTCTTGAAAATCTTGGAACTTTTGAGAGTTTTCATAGTTCACGAAGTCTTGAAAGTTTTCTGAATACTTTTGTAAAATACTGAATACTCAGCAAACTTTCAAGATATACATATATTAAGACTTTGAAAACTATCTAGACATTTAAGACATCTAAGACCTTCAGGATCTGTCGAGTCTTTAAAGATTCAAGACTTTCAAGAGTTTTCATTATCGAATCATATTCGAAGCGACTTAAATTTTCACAGTACTGAAATACTTCGAATCGCTTCGAAAATGAGATTTGAACGGCCATCTTTATGTATAAGGCCAGGAGTCCCAATGATAATTTCTTCGAAAGTAAAATGGCACCCGGCCAATTGCCTTCGACTCCAGTTAAAACATACGTTAACGCTAAAATTAACCGTACTGATTGTACGCTAAAATTATGTGTACTGATTGTTGAATAGCATTCCTCGAATAAATTATTAATGAGGCAAGTAATGGTCAGATGAACGCTATTCAGATAATCGAGATTTTACTGTATTAGATACTTCTATAGATTAATCTGTAAAGTTACATTAGCTGTACAACTTGCTGTGTGTTGACAGCTTCAGAGTCATGAGTAGAGATTTTATGCAACGAGAGGCAAAATTATTCGTTCAGTACGTAGATTATACATAGACATTAGTAATATAATTAACTTTTGTCATTGTGAGTGTGTATTTCAGTAGGCTGTTATTTTTATGCAATTATAGCAAATGCAACTGTCGAAAAATTTTGATTAAACTCAGTATAATAAAATTTGTAATTTATTTGGAGCCTGACAAAACATAAGTTAATGTACTCAATCAATTTTTGTTTGATTTTTGTTTCTGTAAATTGGTCCACATTTTTAAATATATATAAATTTATGTTTGCATAAACAACTGCAATCCATATTACTAATGTACACATATATAATTAATAATTTTTTTTCTTTCTTTTCTTTCAAATTTAACTGGAAGAATATTTTTGTCCCATGTTATATATTATGTACTTATTATTATTTGATGATTTAAAGGGTGAGATTAGTTACGAGTAAAAATAACAATAATATTCATTCTTTGATGTTACGTATTTCAATGCTTGCTAAGCATACTGTTACTAACAAACTAAAATTTGTCCACCATCTTAATTTTTTATAAGAAAAATTTCAGAAATTCCTATTTTTATTGGATAAATCAATGCACCCTTTCTTTAAACGTAATGATGTCATGTTTTATTTACAGCTTTTTGTTAATGAATATTTTTCACACAAATATTTTGTTAATTTGAGTTGTTGCACAAGAAATGTGAGTGAATCATTCAACACAACCATTTTATGCTGCTTTTTTCATAAAGGATGTTTTCAATTTCCTGATTTTATAATTACAAAGTCATAATAAATTAAATTATAATTTATAACAAACCATATCCTGTTGTTATATTATAGTGTGAAACTCAGTTTCTTTCAAGAATTACATTTAACGTTTTCTAGCACATAATAGTAAAATATTAATAAACGCAATTCTTTGCACTATCGAATGTTGAAGCCATTAACACACAAGGCTTTAGAAACCTATTTTTCTTTTACAGACTTACTAACATAAAAATGCAACAGACCACAATAATAAGCCATAAAAGGTGTTAACATTGATATCCACGAGCACTCACAAAATGTCTGCACTTTTTTCATTTCAACCAAACTTTTTGAATATTACTTTTGTTATCATATTTTTAATTTTATAAAAGCATACAGTGACTTTACAAACACTGCCTGTATTACGATAAAAATTAATACTGATAAGAACAATCCATAATTCCGGAATTCAAAAAATTACGAAATTTGTTGAACAAATAAAACATATTTCAAAACAAACGCTTTGTAAATGCACGGTACAAATTGTGTACTTTTATTAGATTGTTTGAAAACGTTTAAGTGTCTATAATTTGTACTTATTTCTTTCTCTGGTTTGTTACTAACAAAAATACTTGACCAATTTTTTCATAAATATTCCTCCGATTACAATTACAAACCTTATGAGGTTCGCAGGCTTATGGAACATTTCTCCTGTAGTCTTCGACGGGCGAAATAAAAATGAAAAATAGCTCGATCTTCGAGGGCCAGATTGCACTTCTTTCGAGTGAATTTGGTCAGAAAAGTAATAGTGTATTATTTATCAAGGTGTCCACCATATAGAGTGGTCTAAGGAAAAGGACTGGAAAAAGAACTAAAAAAATAATGGTGGGTTAACAGAGGACAATAGATGATTTCTACAGAAGATAAGACTTCGCAATAAAAGTCTTCTGCAGTATTTGTTTTTTTGCAAGCAAGAAATACTCAGTTACCATGGTGCAATAGAAAATTTCCACAGAAGATAAAACTTTGAAATAAAAGTCTTCTGTAATCATTTTTCTGTGCTCCTATCTTCCATTTTAACGTTTTCAGAAATCATTATTCACTGTCAAACTGTAAATAATACGGAGAATAAATATAACAAACATATGGTCACAGTTAACACATGAACGTTTTTAGCATCTTAACACGATGAAATTTTTTTACTACTCGAATAATATTGTGATAAAGTACATCTATATAAGGCTTTGTTACTACAAATATAAATATTTATGTGTTAAATTGTGGATTGTTACAAAATTAAATTTTACTGAAAAGACACTAAAAGTTATTTCACATAATTCAATTATCAATTATAAAAATGAAGTGATCACTGTGTGACCTACGTGTTAAATACTTTCAGATTAACTTACAAAAAAATAAAATACAATACTTAATTTTGCACTATATGTATGTATTTTCAAATAATATAATTTTTTATTTTTGACAATTTATTCGCTGGTCTTGATGAAGGAGGTAATTAGCGAAATAAAATGAAGAAAAATATCTCATAAACATGCCGTCAAAAACGAATATTTAATGAGATAAAGAACACGAAACGGTAAAAGAATTTAATTTAATTTTTAATTTTGTTATTCACTTATCTGATAGACAAAATTACCCCAATTGTTTATCTTTCATTTTTTTACTATTATAAAAAGATAGACATTTAAAATGTATATAAAACTCTCACTTAAGCTATGACCATGTTTATTATGTTTATTCTTCTATTACACACATTTCAATATAATAAAATATTGATATCCGATAAATCTTTAAAAATAACAAATGAAGAATATTTTGGTTTGTACCTTTTTAGACGTACATTTATCAGATATTTCTTTCTTTTAAGAAATGCTATATACTTCAATATTATTCTACTTTCTGATCACGCCGTGTATTCTCTCAGTTTCATTTAGGGTTTTTTCCCTTCGTGAGTCATTCGTACGTGTAACAAGCACATCAGGTATTACAGAGACGGTTGTTCTAATCGATGGATTGAACGTGACGACGAAGTTTTGCGTCTGGCACGTTCCCCGAACTTAATACTGCTTATCGTCTTTAGAGGAAATGAGAAAACGATGCTTATCGCTTGTCAGCAACGACAGCCAAAGACATGTGCGAAATTGTCATCGATAGCAGCTATTGTTGTATGTTCAAAAAAACAGTGGCATTATTTATATAAAATTTTGTTAGTTAAAATAATGTATAAACTTAATAATAAATAGCCTAATAATACTAAAGAACTTACTAATAATTCAACATAATGTATAAAGTTGATACTAAATAACCTATTATGTATTATATAACTTCATAATATCGGATGCATAATAATTCAAAATAATATATGAACTTATATGACTGAATGTAATTTTATAACAGTCTACTGATAATTAATAACACTTGTTTGGAAATCGAAATTTTTCGCACCAGGTTCCTAAAGAAGGAAAGGAACGTGTATGCTAGCTCTGTTAGAATGACCAATTTTAGAAAATAATATTGAAGTCTATATGCATTTAGAATTGTGTATTATCTGTCATTTTATTTGGTTCAGTTTCAAACTATTTTCATGTAAAGTGATATTATTTTTTTGAAGTTACTTTTAAATTATAGATAACAAAGAGTTTGAAATAATCTGTTATTTAGCGTTTCACCTAAATGTATGGCCAGTGATAAATTGAATTCTTTTTTGGAAATATGGAGCTTTATGGATTAATGCACTAGGGACTAGTGTTAAAGAAAAATTTGTAGATTTGTTAAAGGTTCTTTCAAATTCCAGATGAAATAAAAACTGTAATGAACATTTTATTCAATAATATTAACAGTTTATATCATGGTTATTTACGAGTAAAATCCG